CCTCGTGGGTGCCCCGCGCTTGGGGGGCATTGTGTGATGCGTTCGCTACGCTGCCGCCCAGGCAATGATGAAGGGGCCTTGGGACACACAAATAAATACACACAAATAACAGGATTCCCGATATGTTCCTATATGTTCTTGGTTTGTGTCTTCCCCACCACTTCCCATATTTTCCCATATGTTCTGGGGAATCGACGAATAATTGTGTCAATGTGTTGTTTTTCCCAACCATCCTGTGGTGTTGGGTCTTCGTTTTGAAGAGACGTCGCCCCGCGTTCGTTCCTCCTCATTCCTCCTCCTCCCCTTCCTCCCCCTCCCATAATAATCATCATCATCATCATCATCATCATTATCATTATCAGCATCATCATCATCATCATCATCCTCATCCTCATCCTCATCCTCATCCTCATCCTCATCCTCATCCTCATCCTCATCATCATCATCATCGTCATCATCGTCATCATCGTCATCACCATTATCACCATCGACATCACCGACGTCATCATCACTACCATCATCATCATCGTCATCGTCATCACCCAATTCGGCACACCCCTCACACGCTTCGTGGCCCCATAGGGAGCTCCACCGAAGGCCCCTGTGGTTGCGTTCGCATGCGCCCACCGCACCAATTTCGGTACACGCTCACACGTTTCGTGGCCCCACAGGGAGCTCCACCGAAGGCCCCAGTGGCTGCGTTCGCATGCGCCCACCGCACCCATTTCGGCACACCCCTCACACGCTTCGTGGCCCCATAGGGAGCCTCACCCAAGGCCCCCGTGGCTGCGTTCGCATGCGCCCACCGCACCCAGTTCGGTACACCCCTCACACGTTTCGTGGCCCCACAGGGAGCTCCACCGAAGGCCCCAGTGGCTGCGTTCACATGCGCTCACCGCACCCATTTCGGCACACCCCTCACACGTTTCATGGCCCCATAGGGAGCCTCACCCAAGGCCCCAGTGGCTGCGTTCGCATGCGCCCACCGCACCCATTTCGGCGCACCCCTCACACGTTTCGTGGCCCCACAGGGAGCTCCACCGAAGGCCCCAGTGGCTGCGTTCACATGCGCCCACCGCACCGATTTCGGCACACCCCTCACACGCTTCGTGGCCCCATAGGGAGCCTCACCAAGGCCCCCGTGGCTGCGTTCGCATGCGCCCACCGCACCCAGTTCGGCACACCCCTCACACGTTTCGTGGCCCCACAGGGAGCTCCACCGAAGGCCCCAGTGGCTGCGTTCACGTGCGCCCACCGCACCCATTTCGGCACACCCCTCACACGTTTCGTGGCCCCATAGGGAGCCTCACCCAAGGCCCCCGTGGCTGCGTTCGCATGCGCCCACCGCACCCAGTTCGGCACACCCCTCACACGTTTCGTGGCCCCATGGGGAGCTCCACCGAAGGCCCCAGTGGCTGCGTTCGCATGCGCCCACCGCACCCATTTCGGCACACGTTCACACGTTTCGTGGCCCCATAAGGAGTTCCACCGAAGGCCCCAATGGCTGCGTTCGCACACGTGGGGGCTCGTTGGGGCGTTCGCCTTGCGCATGCGCTATCGGACGGTCGCACGTAGGTCGGTGGCTCAGAAGGACAAGACCATCGCGGATTTTTGCAATTGTGTTCAGCACTCGTTGGAGCGTTCGCTTTGCGTTCGCGTGGTTCAGAGGGTCGCGCGTTGGCTGGTGGGGAGGAAGCGCGGGGGTGGGTGGACATTCGTCGAAAGCTTTCGAGTGCGTAGCAGGACAAGACCAATCTAGATTTTGTTTGTTTTTTTTGGGGGGGGGCTCGTCGGGGCGTGCGCCCTGCGACTGCGCTATCGGACGGTCGCACGTGGGTCGGTCGCTCAGAAGGACAGGGCCATCGTCCTGAAGAAGCCCCTCTTCCTCGTGCAGGCGGCCGACAGGTCTGCCCCGACGATGAACGTCAAGGACGCCGCCAAAATGATGAACTGTGCCAACCCGAAGAATACCGGTGGCATGCACGGACTGCCCCCGGTGCACGTGGGCATGCGGATCCGGCTCCTGGAGGCGCTCGACCTCAAGACCGGCCTCGCCAAGGACGCCGAGGGGCAGATCGTGCACATCGTCGTGGACCCTCGGGATCGGGACGACGTCAAGAGAGCAGAGAGAGACGGGGATAATAATATCTACCTGAGGCGCTTGCCGCTGGGGTTCTGGGTGCGCATGGAGAAGTACGCGAGCGCGCCCTTCGTGGGCGACCTGCAGCGCCACGACGACAGCCTCACGAGGGACCTCGCGGGCACGCTGGTGTTCATCGAGCCCCGCACGTCGGAGCCTTTCACGTTCCGCACCTCCAAAGTCACCTGGACGGGCTTCCCGTTCTCGGGCGCACCGTGCGAGAAGGCGACGGGGCGGGGGGGCGGCGCTCCGGGGACGGCCAGACCTCCGGGGCGCGAGCAGTCCGCGGCCAGACCTCGGTCCTGCGGACTCTCGCCCTGGGCCGTCGGCTGCCCGGCGCACTGCTCCCTCGGCCGACGTCGCCCAGGCGTGATCCTGGACTGCGGCCGCCACGAGGTCGGGAACGGCAAGAAGGAGGACGACGACTGGTGGCTGGAGCTCTATGTGCTGCTCTCGCGCGCCACGCGCCACGAGGACCTCCTGCTCATGCGGGCGCCGCGCATCGAGTTCTTCCTGGCAGGGCCGCCGGAGGGCTTGCGGAAGCAGCTGGAGCAGTTTGCGGCGCGCACGAAGCGGTGCAGGAGGGAGGCGACGGCCCTCGCCAGGGAGCTCGGCTTCACCGAGTTTATCCGCGAGGCCTGACCTGAGGAGCGTCCCCCCCGAGCCGCGCCTTCTCTCGACTGTCCAACTACTTGTCTGGCTTCGCGCTGCGGAAGACCCGCGCGCGTCGCTGGGACCCTTCCGGGGCGACCAGTGCGCGTCGCGGGGATTCCGTGCGACGCTCTGCCCAGCGCCTCGCTCGCCCGTCGTCGCTCTGCCCAGCGGCCGGAGCCTTGCCCGCAATCAGCCAGCCGGCTAGCTCTCTGTGCTCCGCGCAGCGGACGACCCGCGCGCGTCGCTGGGACCCCTCCGCGGCGACCTGCGCGCGTCGCGGGGACTCTGCGCTGCGCTGCGCCCGCGGCCTAGGACTTTGGAGTGCGCGGGCAAAGAGAAACGAAAATAAGAAAAACGGGCGCTATCCTCGCGAGGGGCGCGCCGACACGGGCGTCGCGGCGTGCGGGCGCTGCCATTGGCATTTCTGGGGGGGGGGGGCTCCTCGCGGCGGCCACAATCAATTTCACAAGTACTCAGAACCAGTTATACTCAAACCGTTCACATTCATATCAAATTACACTGAGCTTGGTCATGCTCCCATTCATGAACATAGACTCGCTCGCACGCAATCCCATTCACAAACAGACGCACTCGCGCTCAGACTCATCCGCGTTCAGTCTCTCGTAATCAGAAATATAAGTTTCCTTCGCGTTGTGTGCCCCCGCCACACATTTCGGCACGCCCTTCATGCGGTTCGTGGCCCCATAGGGAGCGCCACCGAGGAATATATCCACAATTGCGGTATTCACAAATACGTATGGTTGGGTCTTTCGTCAGGCTAATTTTCCTCCTGCAATGAGATCACCGAGGCTGCCTGGCGAGTGCTGAGAATGTCAACCCAAGAAGCCCCGAAACGGCCTCCATGAAGCCCGGAAGAGCTTCAAGGGGCGCCCAAGAGGCGTACAAAGAGCCCTTAGGAGCAACACACCACAACCGCCAATTCCCAAAAGGGTCGGCGGTGTGGCCAAAGCCCAATGAATCAAATCATCGAGGATACCCTAGACACACTTCCCGGCAGGCGTGGAGGCGGTCGCCGACGGTTTCACAGCAGTGTCAATTCACACGGGTGGTCACTCGTTCTTGCTCATCTTTGACGGCGAGATGGCTGTAGGCACGACAGAAGACAGTGCCCGCCACATTGACTATGAGCTGCGCCGTTTTTCAATAGATTCGTTCAAGTACGCTAGAAAATGCTTGCAATACACAAGAAAACAACATTGCCGACTCTGCCTCGCTATGCGATCGCCCGAATTGAAATCGAATCATACCGAGATGAAGTTGCTCGGACGTGTTCCAGCGACAAGTAATTCGAGGCACCTGGCCTCAGCACGCGCGGTCACTGGGAGGCTACGCAGAATCTCCACGACACGAAAAAATCCACCAGGCCCTGAGGACAGGTGGATTTTGTGCCATTCCAGGCGTCGCCGCAGCTCGACAAGCGTCGCCTCTCGTGCTCGTGAGCTCCACACACGCTGTATGCCAGCAAGGTGGGGCGCGGCAAGGAAGGTCTCGCGTTGGGCGCGAACTGATGGGGCGCGATACATTGGGGGGGGGAGAAAGGTGCCCATTTCGGCACCGTCTGGTGCCCTCAAGGGCCTCTTTAGGGGCCCAAATGGGCCTCTATTCTGCAGCCCTCGCTGCCCCCCCCCATGTATCGCCCCTCCATTACGCGTCCTCCGAGGTGAACTTCTTTTTGGCACCAATAGCGCCTGGGTGCACGAGGAGGGCTAGAGGAACAGCTATGCAAGGACCTAAGGAACATCAAGTCCCTCCCGAACCCATACTGTTCCATACTTCGACGTCTTGACTGTATGCCCGCGGGGGCGGCGCGGCGGGAAGGCTGCGCGCCTGCCTTTGACCCCGCCGGGAAGGGCATCACCGCTTCGTGGCTGCACTGCCCGGGCCTAGGCTCTCCAGGTGGCCAGCGTCGCAGTGTGCCCTGTGGTTATCGTGGCCCGGAGCGGGATGGCAAATGCAGTCGAACAGCTGCCATAAGGAACACCATCGGCTCAACTTCGATGATTCATCGTAGATCTGGGGAATATCAGAGAAACAAGAGCAGCTATAAAGCAGTTAAGGAACAGAGAGCCCTCCCCCATGAGAAGGGTTCCTTATTATGCGACCTGGCTGTACGTGTGAGACTTGAGGCTTGCGGGGCTCGTCCTGTGGCGTTTGCGGTCGCTGGCGGCCGTATGTCGCACTCCTGTCCCTCCCGCCCTGTGCGGGGTCGTGTCTCCGAATGCCGCTAGCTCTAGACTCCATCGAGTGGTTCGGTCGTGTCACAGCGTCAGCATCGTTTCGAATCACCTGCCCGTAACAGGTACGGTCATTCCAGAGTATCTCGGAGGCTGGTCTGAATCTTCCCCAGCTTGCCCTTCTTGGTCCAAAGGCTGATGCTGCTCCTCCCCTTACCACCCCTCTCCAGTTTCTCCTCCCTGCTCCTCCCCTTCCCTCCAGGGGGAATCCACCTTTCGCCGCCGGAGCAAAAACTTCGTGAAAATAGTCCTAACCCGTTTAACGAGCAGAGTGGCCAAGTCATGCGTTTCACCACGTGAGAGAGTGTAAAAACACATGCTGTAGAACGGCGAGTATCTGGTCCAGTGATGGACTAGTTCTCAGTCAAACCTGTCTTGTTGCCACCGTGTCCGCACCGCGCAGTCCTCTCCCCCTGCAGGGGCACCACCCCTCCCGTCTCGCCCCCCCCCCTCCCCGTCTCGCCCCCCCCCTCCCCTCGCAGCCGAGTCCTCGGGGCAACATGCCGCGAGGTCCGCCGCAAGGATGGCGTGCGCTCCGGGCCGGACGATCGCCCTGAAGATCTCACCTTGGGATGGGAGGTGGCGGCGGCCAAGAGTGTGTGCGGCTGTGGAGGGGGCGGTGGAGTGGGGCCGAGACGACAGTCAAGCCAGCCAAAGGAATGCTATGACAGCGTGTAGGGGAGATCTCGCGAATTTGCGTATTACTCGTTCGCGCATGCGTGGGTGCTGGGGGGCCCTGGAGGAAAAGCACTCTGGGCAGGTCGGGCCACAGATGGTTCTACTTTGGGCGCGGCCCGCAAGAACCCCAGCACAAACCAAGGATCGGCCCAGGGGGCGTCTAAGGGAACCCAAGACCGTTCCGGGACAGCAATGGGTGGCAGGGCCCAAGATGGTGTACAGTCGGCTCTGATTAATGGGTCGGCCCTGCAAAATAAAGGGTACCCTTGTGTCCTGTGTCTCGCGAGCCCTGCCTCTCACATCCTATGGCGATGTGGTTTCCGAGGGTCTTGCGTCCTCTCGCGTGTCCTGCCCAATCAAATACGACTGTAATGAAAGCAGTGGGCGGCAATGGCCCAAGATCGGCCCAGGGGGCGTCTAGGGGAGCAATGTGTGGCAGGCCCTGTAATGTCCCATTTGACAGCCAAAGGGGCCCCAAAACGGCCCATGATTGTCTAAGACAGCCCTCGACAAACCTCCAGGAGGCCAACACCTGTCATAACTAACTCGCTGATCGATGACTTCGCATTTCTTGGGAGGCGTAATGATATACTAATACTTCGTGCTCCTCGGCGGCGTGCGTCCGACCCGAACATACATTACATCCATCTCGAAAGATATCGTTTCCCGAGCGGCACGGCCAAGCAGCGCCCGCGACGGAGGTAAGCCTGAAGGTGACCGGGAGGCCCGACCAGAAGTTCCGCCTCATGCAAAGCGCACCTCCAGCTCTGTTGTACCGTAGTAGCGATAGGCCCAGTCGGACGAGGTCGTCGCGGGAGCGACGGGCCATCTCAAGCGAAATATGTTTTCGGTCTCGATGGCAAATAGTATGCCTCGCATCAAGGCACAGTCACATGTTGGCGGCCGGCCGCCTGGGCCCAAGCGGCCATGGACAAACGTTCGATATCTCTCGCCCTTGGCCCAGCTCAATTTAAAGTCGCGGGGGGGAGACGAAGCGTGAGTCCGCCGCCCCTTATACAGTAAGGACGATCTATACAAAAAGTAACAAAAGGCGGGTTCGTAAGGAGGGTCAACCCGCAAGCAAGTGGCCCTTGCGCGCAAGTTGCCTTGCGAGCAGCTCGCTGTATAAGTGAGTGTTACTCAGGCGGCCCTGGACGATGTTGATGTGCCGGCCCGGTACGGAGTATGGCGTTTTAAATCATGTTTGAAGGACTGCGTTCCTCCCATGCCCTGCAGGAACATGTCTGTCAATGCTCCCATTTGTGTGACCGTCCGCGGTCATATCGCGAGTGTCACACCACTGGATACTGTGCACGATTCCTTGCTCCATCATCTGACGTATCCAACTAATGTGTCCCGAAAGGGTACATCCAGTCGGCATATTCAGTTCTTTGCTTGACAAGAACTTGAACACATATTCAGCATCTATGGTCAAAGCGACCTTAATGCTCAGGCCACCCCTCTTCAGTATATGCTTCAATTGAGTAGGTGTCAGTGGCCCTGCGCGGAATTCGTGCCGAGTAACGATCGTGGGATAGCAGTCCTCCAACTTGTGGGTTGCTGCTCGAGTTCCTGCTGAATAGCTTGAGCGGACCTGCAAGCGATGAAACTTGCAGTACGCATCGATCAAATGGACGACAGGCTTACCAATTGGCGCGCTTCCACGCCGTAGCAACTTTGCCCCACGAGTACCATAGCCTTTGACCTCGTCATCGGTATCTCCACTCATGCGTCGGTAGCCGGAGTCGTTATTCAGGTCAACTTCGCCCGTTGGAGTCATCGATCGATAGACGATATTCTTGGGAGAGGCCTACAACTTCCTGGTAATCGCGTTCATTCGCCGCGCCTGTATATAGGTCGGTTCTTGGACGCGTTGCAGAGAGACCACATGTACCATGACCCACACTTGTTTAACTAATGCGTAAACCAACGCGCCTCTGAGGCTGACGAACATGTCAGCGACCATCTTTGATGTTTTGACGTTGGCGCCTGCGCCTGTGAGTTCAAGACGTTGTTTAAGACGGAATTGTTTGATGTATCTTGGTCCAGCGTACCATTGCCGCCCCCATCCTTCGTGTATCTTACAACACAATTGGTATATCTGTGTTTGTTAAGTTTACACTTGCCAAAAATGTCCTCGAGGCACTTGACGCACCTGTCGATGGTGTCCTCCGCGCCGGCTATATCGATATCGTATACATGATTGGCTATGAGCAGGTTGCTGCATGTCTCAAGCTCCTCGTCGTAGGACGTGGGTATGAAACCAAAGTCTCTCGCTGTCCTTCTGAGCTTCACTGAGGAGGCTCTGGGTGCATCCTTGGTGCCGGTGCCTGGTTTGAGGCGCTGCAAGCAAAGCTTCACCGTAGTGCTCGAATCCTGGCAGGAACCGGAGCACCGATGCTGATCCAGCCGGCAATGTTAAGCACGCCGCGCGTTCCGTTTCACCGGTTGCCTCAGCGTTTTCCTGGTAGGTTAACCCTTCCAGGAAAGCCATGTTGATGTCAAGGGAAGCAATGATCCATTGCTTCTCGCACGCTGCCGCGCTTGCAAATAATCGCTGGCTTGACCGCCGCGCTGTTCCTGATAACGTGTCCACATCGAAAGCCTCGGAGTCCATGAAACCCCGAAGTACTAGGCGTCGTTTGATGGCGCGTTCCATATCGCTTCTTTCGTTCTTTACGAACTTCCACTTATATACGTACATCGAAGTCATGATGGTTGACGGCTTGGATATAGCTTGCATATTTCGCATTTGTCGTCAAACCATGTTATGAATTCGGAGTATATGACCTTTGATAACTTAACTGGGTTCGCCTGCGCGTCGGCCTTCGTGAGGTCGTCCTCCTGGACGACCGCAGCTCGTTTTGCGGCGGCGGTGGCATATTCTCGCATGGTGGTCACATGGTCGAAGTCTAATATCATATGATTTTGTTCAGATTCGACTACATGTGACACTTCTGCAGTACAGCCTAGTTCTATATACTGACCGTTTTCGTCCGAATCCAATCCGTAAGTATGGTCTTCGCCCGTGGAACACATTGGGACATGATGCGTCTCCTCAATGTCGGGGTCGCAGGGATGACCCCGCGTAGGCAAGTGCCCCCGCTGTTCTTCAGCTGCCGTGACCAGCGCACTGTTGTCAGTGATCATATGTGTGGGTACTGTGTAAAGGTCATCAAATGGAGTTGCCTCCAATAGTTCCTTTTCTGAATGTAGCTCGGTGTACCACACCTCCATCATATGTGCCTCAAGGTCCGCTCCTGATTCCTCTAGATCGCACACGGCCGCCCATCCTCCTGTGATCGTTCGGTTTCTGAGGCTTCTCTGGGGTTGTTGTCTTGCGTCGGTGCGCCAACCAGTTCCTCAAACTTCGCCACGTCTTGGCCGAAGCCCGATGGAGGTTTAGTTGACTTTGGGCACCGGCTGGTCCTCGAAAGAGCCGATCCAATTGTATCTTATAGATCTATACCTATACGACCGCTCTGCGGGCGATAAGGTTTGGGGGGATTGAAATCAAATGCCCGCCCTGACTGACCTCCCGCCTGCCACCTTGATATCATATCTCTCTTTCTCTCTGCCATTCTCGCTCTCTCTCTCTTTCTCTCTCGCACTCACTATCTCTCTCTCTCGCCCTCTCTCTCTCTCTGACGCCCTGCCCCCCTTTCTCTCCCTCTCTCTCTCTCTATATATATATATATATATATGTATCGTGTTCTCTCTCTCTCTCTCTCTCTGATTGTTGTGTTGTGTCTCTCGCTCTCTCTCTCTCTCTGTCGTGTTGTGTTTCTCTCTCTCTATCTCTCTCTCTCTCTCTGTTTATCTTTGTCTCTCCTTCTCGCCTTCCCTTTCTCTGGGTTGAATTGGATGGATTGGGTTAGGTGGGGTCAGATGAGATGGGACAAGATGGTTTGGGTAAGATAATCTGGATTGGATAGACACGCCCGCCGCAAGCGCCGACAAAAATAAATTTATGGATTGGGTTGGGTGGAGTTGATTGGATGAGATCAACAGATTTGGTAGGATTGGATGGGTTAAATTGGAAGAAGTGGATAGGAACATATAGGATGTATTGAAATGGCCCGCCGCAGGCGCATAAACCAATGAATTGACGGATTGGGTTGGGCGGATTGGATAGGGCGGGATAAGACAAGATGGGACAGGATGGTTTGGAAAAGGAAGGATGGATTGGATTGGACATGATGGATGGGATATGTTGCGCTGGATTGGATAAGAAAGCCCGCCGCAAACGCCGACATAAATGAATCGATGGATTGGGTTGGGTGGGTGGGAGTGGATGGGATAATATGGATTGGATAACATAAGATGGGTTGCGTTGGAAGAGAGGGAGGGATTTGATAGTATAAGATAAATTGGACTGGCCCGCCGCAGGCGCAGAAACAAAATAATTGTTGGATTGGGTTGGGTGGATTGGACTTGTCGGGATACGATAAGATGGGACAAGATGGGTTGGATAAGATAAAATGGATTGGATTGGACAAGGCGGATCGGATAATATGGGCTGGATTCGATATGCAAGGCCGCCGCAATCGCCGAAACAAATGAATTGTGAAAATGCTGGCATGCGTTAGCGCCGGGACGCCCGGGGCGCCCGGGGCGCCGACAGGCCCAACTGGGACACCTCCCGGCCACCGGCGGACGGGAAATGGACTTTCGCTCCTACTGACACCCGGGACACCCGGGACACCGCCCGGCCCAACTGGGACACCTCCCGGCCACAGGCGAACGGGAAACGGACTTTCGCTCCCACTTCGGCCTAGCTACAGGAGGATCATGCGCAGCTTCGCCTCGCCCGCGCGCGCGACGCGAACGCGAAACCGAAACCGATTTCCCGGCGGGGGGCCTCCGCTTCACTGCGATCTCACCCCCC